AGCTACTCCAGACAACAGAAATCAAATTGGCTCAACCGCAGCATAGAATTCAGGAAGGGAACACAAACTTGGAATGCTAAACCACACAGAAATGCATTCGGACAACAAAATGAGAAAGAGAGGGAGTGAAGGGGGGTTGGGGGATGGGGGTGGGGTGGAGAGGAAGAAGGAGCAGGGACGGTGGAAAGGAGGGAAGAGTGAACCAGAAAAGTTGTTGGGGAAAGTCAAGAAAACTAAATGACAAACCAGGAAACACAGCTTTGTAGCTCATTTGGAGAAAATGCAAGTTACAAATGAGTAGTCACTAAAATAAAGAAAAGGGAAGGGGAGAAAACCAACCAGAGCGAGACTGAGAGAGAGAGAGAGAGAGAAAGAAAACCACATTCAAACCAAGCAGAGTGGTGGGGCTTATCTGGAGATGGGAGCGAGCGAGCGCACAGCTGAGCTGGGATACCTACCTTCTCAGTGGTCAGGGACAGGAATGCAATAATAAAAAAGAAAAGAAGGTCTCCGCATTGGGAATGCAGAAGGGGGAAAGACAGTGATTCTAAGTTGTGCTCCCCCCTCTGAGTCAGCACGTGGGCAGCCAAGTGTGGCTTTCGGTCTATTCCCAGGGAGGGGAGGGGGCTCCTGTCCAGCCATTTCTGTTCGCTCCCCCCACCCCCCACAGGCTCCAATAGCCAAGCTTTTCTTAACTCTTTAAACAACAGAAAACTTCCAGAGGGCATGCAGGAAGCGGTGGATGGAAGCAGAACCACAGTGGTGGATGAAGGAGGGGCTGGTAGCATGGGGAGAGAAGCCCATTTCAGGGGGAGAGATGGAGAGAGATTGAGGAAAAAGACAGAGAAACACAGGGAGAGAGAGAGGGAGAGGGAGAGGGAGAAGGAAAGGGAGAAGGGGAGAGAGAGAGAGAGAGAGAAAGGGAAAGAAAGGGAAAGACAGAAAGAAAGGCAGAAGGAAACAGAAAGGTGGACTCAGCCAGAAAGAAGAAAGAGAAGCTGTTTCAACAAGGCCAATCAGAGTGGACAGGTGGGGTGAAAGGGGAACTGTGCATTTAAAAGGGAAGGCAACCACAGATTCGATTTGGAGGATCGATCCTGCCTCAAATCAACCCCACTCCTTTTCCCCCTGGCTTCAGCATCATTTTAGCAAAATTCACCCCTCCTGCCTCCTCTGGCTTTATCCTGGAAGAAATGCCAAGATGTCCCTATTCTGACTGCCCCACTCCAGCCATGGTCACTGCTCTTTCCTGGGGGTGAGGAGGAGGGAGGCCTGGGATGAGGCAGGTTAGGGAGTGCCATGGACACTTCTTCCTGAGGTCACCCTAGGCTGCCCATTTGAGCCAGAGACAGGGGCCAGCGAGAGTCTGGAGGCCTTGCTCACAACCATCTTTGGCACTTTCAGCAACCGGTGAGGCTTCCCTCAACACTTCCAATGCTGAGGACAGGTGGAGCACTACTTTGAAGGCTGCAGACCCTACATACCCCTCCCTATCTGGCCAATATGCTGGGCCTTGGGTTCAACATCTTACACTTCCTTCCCACAATGTGTGACTTCGAGTAGCTCCTTTCCCTGTCTGTGCCTCACTATTTCTTTCTCCATCTGTGTGTGAACTGAGGGCTTAGGGCTCCCTGAGTTGCTGATACAGCAGTCATACAGAGTCAGGCTTGCATAATGCCAGGCTCATCTGCACCCTGGTCTCTGTGTGCACCTGTGTGCACAGGCCTCAGGACTGGGGGGTGGAGAGAGCTGGGAGCCTGCCATTGACATCTGGGCTCCCCCAGGGGGAAGGCAGGAGCTGAGTCCTCCCAGCATCCACCTCCCAAATCCTCCTCCCCCTACTCAGGGCTCCTAGAATATGCCTTCCATTGACCACCCTCTCCATATTTTAGCTGTGGCTGGCAGTCAGAGGTGATAGGGTCTCCTTTTGGATCTACCTCTAAAATGCTGTGTGACCTTGAACTGGTCATTTGACTTCTCTGAGCTGCAGAGAGCCGTAAGCAGCAGAGCCCAGAAATCCCTTTGGGGGTTCAGTCCTGGCCTGGGATGGAACAACATAGAGATAGTGGGAGCCAGCACCCCACTGGTTGCAGTCTCAAGACCGGGATGAATTTTTTTTTTCTTGCCTGGGAGTGTCTGGCTTTGAAGCCCTCACCTGAGCTAAACTCTCTCAGGTGTCTTCAGTTCCGTCCTCCAGGGCCTCCTAAGGATCTGAGGCCAGCACAGAAGGTGCAGAGCAGCCATTTTATACTAGATGGAAGCGAAGCTCGCTGCCCTGGGAAATTCCTCCAGTGACTGGGACAAGTCTCTCCCTCCCTGGGTCTCCCAACTTCTCTCCAGGGTTCCTTATATACAGGGACACAGATGCGTGATCTGCACCACTTGTGTTAGTTTGAAAGCTGAGGCAGTTTTACCATGTGCCCATGCCCTGGGTTTAGGAGAGGGCTGGCTGCTGCAGATGAGGCCGGAGCTATTGGCGTGAGGATAATTTTTTAAGAGTTATCTTCCCTTTTAAATTCTGATTACAAAGGAAAAAATAAGTATATAGAGATATGTATATGATTAATGTTCACTTGAGATTCAAAAACCATCTCTGCATTAGGAGGACAGGCTCCCATAGTAACACGCACAAAAGCAAAATTCTAGAACAACAAAGAAGATAGAAAACCCCCAAAGGGATAGTTTGCATTTCTGTACATTACAAAAGGGGGGGGGGGAGAAAAAAAGAAAGGAAGGAAAAGAAAATACAAACAAAAATAAAGTAATAGGAAAAGTTACATAAACTTCCCCACCCTCTTCCCTTGCCACTAAAGGAGAAATGGAATCACAATATTACCACGTTTCAAATGGGAGGCTAAAAAAAAAACAAACAAAAACATAGACGGGGTTAAAAAACGGTGAGCTTTTCTTTTTCCATTTGTCTCTCTCTCTTTTTTTTTTTTTTTTAAAGGTAGTGTCCAAAAATACCACCCCCAGGCTTTTCCCAAAAGGCATTTTTGGTTACTGGCAAAATCTATGACCCACCCCCATCTCACCTTCCTGAAGGCCAGAGAGAACTAGGCTTATTTTACTCCTAGCAAAGGCTTTGTGGGCAGGGAGGGGATCAGGGTGCAGGTGAGAGGCAGGGGGTGTTCTGAAGGCCCTGATCTCCCAGGGCCCAGAGGGTAGGGAGAGGATTTGGGGACCATGTTTTGTGAAAGGAGCCACCAAGTGCTGTTTCCTAGAAAATTCCCAGGACAATGTCAAAATGGAGTTGTGTTTTAGGAGGGAGACAAGATTGGGGTGCTGCAGAGGCTTCCTCCCCCTGCCCGGAGGCTAGGCCACCTTCCCTGACTACTTGCTCCTGGGCTCTACCTAACTGCTGTGGCCATTTTGTCTGCACCTACCCAGGGCCCTTGTGGGGGCTATTGCTCAAGCCCCCAAGGCTGGGGAGGAGACCAAAAGTGGGAAGGACCTCCTTTCCACCCCGGCTTGAGAGAACCTGTGGAGAGAACCTTTCTGTACCTCTGAGGATGGGAGCTGGACATGAGGGTGTGAAGCTCCCGCTAGCAGGTGTTTGGGCCTCTGTGCCCATGGGAATGGCGGGGGGGAGGGGGGCAGGTTGGGCATCATGTCTGGGGCCTGTCCCTGTCCTTGCTGCCCTCAGCTACCTCTGCATGCCCCCTCCCACACCCAAGACAGATCCAGGGACATTGGTGTGATCTCCACTTGACCCAACCAGGCCCCTCTGAGCTCAGGAGCCTGGCAGGTGGGGGCAGTCAGGTAATGTCCTTAAACAAAAGTTAACCTTGAGACCAGGAGCCTTTTGTCAGGTGCCCTGGGCTTTCCTCACTGAGGCTGTGGGACTAAGGGTATTTGAGAAAAGAAAGGGAGTGAAAGGAAAACAGCCAAAAATCAAAATGAAATTGACCGACACGTACATGTTTGCTGCTGAGACCTGAGGTCTGGAGGGGAGCAGCTCCCCCCTCCTTGCTGAGGCTTCTGGGGCAGCCTGCAGGTCTCGGGGGGCAACCTGCAGGCTGCCCATCCCCAGTGCCCTGTGTCCACCCAGTGCCCCTGCCAGTGCTGCAGCCCCTTCTCCCTGAGGGGGCCTCTACCCTGTACTCTAAGATCAAAAGACAAAAGGTGGTGTGGGCCTCCCCTGGGGCCTGGGAGAACCCCCACCCTGGCCCAGGCCATCCAGCTGCCAGCTCCTAGTATCACCATACCTGCCTGTGGGTCTCAAGGAATCTGTGCCCCTCCTGGAAGATGGATGGGGACAGTTTTGGGGGTGCTGTTGGTGTGGTCTCTGAGGAAGCAATGGGTACATTGGGAGGTGCCCTAGGAAGGATGGGCCATGGGAAGTGGAACCTGCAGGGTTGAGACACCTGTCCAAGCAAGGGCAGTGCTGAAGAAAACAGACTCTCCCTGAAGCAGGGACTTTAGAAATGCAGCTCTGTGGTGGCAAGGGGACTGAGATGGGGGGAGGGACTTGAGAAAGGGGGAGGGGGCTAGTGAGGGGGTTGAGGGAGAGAGGATGCTCTGAGTAGAGGAAAGGGCTTGGTGGGGAGAGGGGGGCTCCCATCCAAGTGATGCCCAGAGGAGATCCTATCTCTTGAGTCCTGTTCCTATAGCCATGGCCCCTCCCACCCCAATATGCCTGGGGGAAGGAGGCAAGAGATCTTGGTTCCTCTCAAGCTCTTTATCCAAATGGCTGAGTGCCCCTGTGGTCAACCCTCTCTAGCCTTCAGTTTGCCAAGCTCAAGGGTGGCCCAAGCCTGCAGGGATAGGGGGGTGGGGGGCTCACCCTGACACTAAGGCCAGGTGAGCGCAACAACCAAGCACTCCTGGCCGCTCCCTGTTGGGAGGGCTCATGGGACGGGGGAAGCGACCGGAGGGAGGTGTGCAGCGCCCCGCCCCGTTACACACTCACTGCCCCCTGCCCGGCAGCGACCCGCCCGGCCCCAGCTCGGCGCAGCACGCGCGGCACGGGAACCGTCTGCAAAGCGAGGCGTACGTACATTGGGCAGGCTGTGCGCCGAACCTGGACGGCCCCCGTGCGCTCCGCTCCGCTGCCTGTTGCCGCCGTTCTGCTGGGGCGATCCCCATCCGCTGCCTCCCGACGGGGAAGGCGACCGGCTCCCGCTGGACCGCTGGCTGCCCGTCTTCCGCCGGTCGTCTCTGTGCTTGGGGCTCAGCCTAGGGGCAGGGGACATGACGGGAGCCGGCGTGGGATGCCCCCTCTGCAACAGGCCGCCGCCCCGCGGGAAAGGCAGCTCCCCACCTGCTCTCTCACTGGGCCAGGGACCCTCCCATTTAGAGAGCAAGGCCCCAGCCCTCACACAGCCTCGATTTCCATTCAAGATCTGGGCCACCTTTGGGCAGGGGCCACAGCTCTTCCTTGTCCAGTTCCAGGTTGGCATCAGCACTGCCCTGGTAAACTACCCACTGATTAACTGCTGTTCTATCAGTCGGGCTCCCCAGCCCTTGGGGAGCATTTAATCTGCAAGTCCACTCCCCCTAGCACAACCGCATCTGGAGCCCTCTCAGTGGCCCACAACCTACCTGCTGGGTGATCTGGAATCACTGTCCTGGGAGGTGAGTGAGGGGCTGTGGGAGCTGCCGCTGCTGTGGTGATGGGACCTCCGGCCTGGGGACTCGGTGACATGTGGCCTGGGAGAGAAATCAGCCTGTACCAAAGTTCCGCTTGACCTCCCCATGGGGGATCCCTGTGAAGGCCTGATGGAAGCCGCTGCTGACCACCATCCCCCCTCCCCAGTCTCCTACAAAAATAAACAAACGCTGTCCATTCTGGCCTAAAGCCCAGCCAGTTCCTGTGGGTCATTTGTGGGAATTTGGAAAAGGCACTGTTTTCTCCAGACAGCTCCAGTCCCTCAAGATCTCACTCACCCCTCAGCTGGTGCTCTTGTGATTGGAGAGGTGAGGGAGCGGGAGTTACAAGACTGACCTGAAAAGACCTGGGACTGGGAGGCAAAAGGCCTGGGTTCCAGTTCCAGCTCTGCCACTGAATCACAGGGGCTCTTGGCTTACTCTCTGGTTCTAAAATTTTCCATCTGGGTACAAAATGAGCTGTCTCCAAGGGCCTGATTCTGTGATTCTAGATGGCCAGGTTTGCTGTGGGGGGGAGGGGTGGGGCTGAGGGGCTGGAGAGTGGGGATGAGTGCTCACCTCTTCCTCTCTTTGTTCTTCTCTTTTCTTTTGCTCTTGGAGCTTCGTGATCTACAGAAAACAGAGACTACAGTGACAGCACAGCCTGAGCCAGGCAGCGGGAGGGCGGCCTCCTGAGCCCTGCTGTCCCCCGGTATGGGTCTGAGATTTGTTCCTCTCTTCACCTCAGCCTCCCTAGCAGGTATGGACTTATCCATTCCATCTCACTGCTTTGGTCCCTCTCATTAGGCCAAGTCTGGCCCAGTCTCGTTCATCCTTCTCCTGTAAGTCTTGACCCATGATCACCTCCTGCCTTGGTCCCACCTGCTGTGCCCTCTGGGAGTGCTAAAGGTGATGTGGCCACAGCCCCAGAAGAAGGGTGACTTGCCCTTATCTTCTGGCATCAATCTCTAGACAGGGCCCTCTGATGAGTTACAGGGCGGGGAGTGGTCCCTCCATACTTTGTGTTCCCTGTGCCCCAGGTCCCCTCATATGGGGCCCTCCCAGGCAGAGCCCAGGTCTCCTACCTCTCTGTCCTCTATACTGTGGCCCAGCCTGGAGCCAGCTCACCAGGGGTTTTAGGACAGAAATGCTTCCCTTTGGGCATGATCTCCCTGCTTTTGGGTTACTCCTCTGGACCTCCATCCCATTCCACCCAGCTCTCTGGGGTGGGTTCCACAGCCCAGTTCCTGCCTTTGACAAAAGGATTGAGAAGCTTCTGATTAGCCCTCTAAGGCCTCAGCCCATACCCATAGGTCTCTCAGCGCCACCCTCCCTGATGCCACCAAATTCCGCCTCAATCCTTCCAGTCCAGAACAGGTGCCTTCGTTTGACCAAAACTGAGGTGATGGATGCTAAGAAACATCAGCACATGTTTCTCACAGGAGCAGAGTGGGTGGGGGACAGGACTGGGAGTGGGGGCAAAGGTTTGGGTTCTAGAACCCATGTTGCCTGCTTTGGGCCTCAGTCTCCCCATCTGGAGCTGGTCTAGCCTAGCTCATCTCTAGATCCTTCCCAGGACTGATGAAAGTTGGCCTGAAGATATGTGCAAGCTAATGGTGACTGCTGGGTACAGCAGGGGCCCACACTGGCCCATGAGAAGCGGTAGGGGGAGGAGTAAAGTGGGAAATTGGGGAAATTGGAGGGCCATGATTAGGTGTTTGTAAATTTAGGCTCCTCCCCCACCTGGCAAGTAGCCTTGGGCAAATTCCCACTGCAAGAATGGGGCTGGGAGCTCTGCCCCTCCTCAGGGCCGCTGGGAGGGGTTCTGGCTCCATGCCAACCATGGGGATGTGACTGCCCCATATCTTCTTTTCCTCCATGCTCAGTGCTCTACTTCCTCCACCCCATTCTCTGCCTGGGCTCCTGCCTTTCGCTTCCTCCTCTTTTCTCCCCCAATCCATCCTGAACAAATCACTGTCCTGCTCAGAGCCCCATGCTGGCTCCCAGCTCCGCTGGGGTGGAGCCAGCTCCCTAGCCTGGCAGTCAGCTGGGGGCTGGTACTTGCCCCTCAGACACTCCATCTCTAGACACAGCCCACCCACCACATCTCTTACCCACTGAGGTTTCCTTCTGCCTCACATGCCCTTTCTCTACAAATTCAGGGTTCTAATGCTTCTGCCTTCCTGACCACTCTACTGACACACCGCTTGGACATTGGACCGCTGTGTTGACTGGAAATTCTTGGGGCCTCCAAGTCAAGGCTGACTCATGGGGCAGAGAACTGCAAACAACTCGCCTTCATCCCCCTTCCCCCAGCCTCAGTGCCCTGCCTGGTTCTAAGAAGGAGTCCCTGGAGAGGGAGGCTTGAGCAGGGCAGGACCCTCACCACCCCCCTCCCATTATGGCTTCCTTGGGGCCTTGGTCTCTGCAGTGGGGCACTAGCCTTTGTCCACATCCTCCTGTCACACCTTCACAGGGCACTGCTCACCTGTGCCGTCTCTTCCTCCTGGACCCAGAATCAGACCTGTAGAGCCATAAAAAGATTCTCTTGAGCCTGTCTGGGGTGACCCAGGGACATCAATCAGGTCCTGGGCCCTATGGAAGTCTGAGGAATCCCCAGGGGAGGGAAGATACCTGTCTCTGCGGTGCTTCTTCACACTCTTTTTCTTCTTTCGCAGGGGCGAGGAGCTCCCACAACTGCAGACACAGGGGTGGGAGATGGGTTCTAGTGAACTGGGGCTCAGGATGGGGGGGGGCAGCTGGAAATGGCTGAGGAAGGCTGCATGCTTGGGGCATCGAAGCTGGAAAGGGGGTCCCAGGCCATGAAGCCAACTGCTTGTTATACAGAGTGAACCAAAGCCCACAGGGTCTGAAAGATCCCTAAGGGTAGCTGATGAAGCTGCCTGTATTGTCCCTGATCACCCTTCCAGCCCCCTTGACATTGCAAGAGAATAGTTTCAAACCCAAAGGTTAGAGGCTGTAATGGTGAGATTTCTGGCCTCTGTGGGGAAAAACTGGTGGTGTCTAGGGTCCAGGCCCTCAGGTGCCAGGCTCCTGCCTCTGGGGGATGGCCCTGGGATCTTACCCACCCATAGACACACACCCCCCAGCCCCACCTGGTCCTTGCCAGCCTTCATCACTGACCTGCACTCTGAGTCTAGTCTTCTCTTTTTGCTGAGGGCCAGGGGAGAAAGGACAGACAGTTGGACAGGGTTAGTTGGAGCCCAAAACGTTAGCCAGGGTCTCACTCAGGACAGGGGACGGGGATCTAGAGATGGGGAACCACAGATGAGACCCAGCCAAACCCCTCCTCCCCAGGCCACTCACACTTGTGATGGGTGCAGGACCGCTGGGGGAGGGCGGAGGGTACCCCGCAGGTGGACTGAGTCAGAGGCAGGGTCAGTGTTTCTGGTTCCGAGGCGGGCGAGTGCCCACGTGGGGGACTCAAAGAGGGAAGGGGACTTGGTGAAGGGGAGGAACTCATTGGGGGTGGGGCTTGGTGAAGGGAAGGGGGTTGAGTGAGGGGAGTGGTCAGTTAGGGAGAGGGCACTTGGTGGGGGGGCAACACAGTGACGGGGAGGGATTCAATAAGGGTAGAGGGGCGCAGAGAGGGCAGGCTCACAAACGCAGCTTGGGTCCATGCGGGCCGAGAGCTGGACACATGGGGGGACCCGCTCCGCCCTACCCGACCCCGCCGCCGGGCGGCGCTCTCACCGGCTCCTCCGGTGGCCACCTTTCTTTTTCTTCTTCTTCTTGGGAGGGGGCGATGCCGAGCTGCTGGACCAGTGCTTGGTCCTGAGTGAGAAGGGGGCGGGGTG